TCATAGCCACCTAAAATTTCCACTCCCATGCTCCCATACTTCATACCTGTATTTCCCATTCCTTCAGTCCTGGACTGCATATGTCTCCATTGTGTTTCTTTGATGATTTATCATTATTATTAATGATTGATTTCTTAATGTCACTGACTACTTGATTAATCGCAGTGGAAACTTGAGAGAAAATTGGACCTAATTGATCTAGAAAATAATACAATAATTTATAATAATCCATTATCCATAGCTCCTCTTCTCTTCTCTCTATCCCTTACCTTCATTGTCCTCATAGTGTCTCTTCAGTCTCTCCAGCTTCTCTTCTAATGGAGAATACATCAGCAACATCTTACTGGAGCTAGATCCTAATAGAATAATAAATAAATAAATAAATAAATAATAATAATTTATACATGTACATGTACCTTTGCCATTACTAGTTGAGTTGTTTAACTTTTTACATTCTCTTTCATATTTAGCAAACATAGACTGGTGGCTTTTATCTCTCCTAAAAAACAACAACAAAATAACAACATAACATTAATTATACATGTACATGTACCTGTATGTACATTTATTAATGTACACTATGTATTGTACATGTACATGTACGTGTACAAGTACATGTATGTTCTTTAGTACTTCTTAAGTGCTTCAATGAGTCTTTCCCTTGTATCAAGAGGTGAAGGAACCTGTCCAAAAATTAAAATAATCATTAAAATATTCAACAATATTAACAGTAATATATCAACAATAACAATTAACAATAATAATATCAATAATAATATATACATGTAATACAGCAATATAAACAGTAAAATCTCTCTTTCTTTCTCACTTGTCTAGGAGCTAATAATAATCTGAGTATCCTTCCAGTATAGTAAGGCTGATTGAACATTTGATACTCTAACAGTTTATTAGGAATAGGCTGACAATTGTTGGCCTCAAATGAAGACATTATGTCATTTAATTCAACTTCAGCCATTGAGAACTAAAGAGAGAGAGAAAGAGGCAGAGAATGGAGTTTAAAAAATTACATGTATAGTGTAGTTACCTCGTGATTGATTTCAACATTATCTTCAGTGCTATTAGTATCAATGTAATCATAATCAACCTATAAACATTCAATAACTATTAAAATAAATTCATCAATTTTCTACGCAACATAAGTACATGTATATGCATCAAATAAAATTATAAAACCCAAAATTCTCCAATTTTTAATTTTGGCAAAATTTGGCCCGAGAAGCTGTACTATAGTACAGGGGCTTTGACTCAATTTTGGAGCAACTTCAAAAATTCATAAAAAATTCAAATTTGATCGGAATCACTTCAAACTTTCTACACAGCATAAGTACATGTATATGTATCAGATAAAATTATAAAAACCTAAAATTCTCTCTTTTACAATTTTGGTGAAATTTGGCCGACATCCCTGTACTATTAGTAACGCGGTAGCGTTACTAAGTAGGATTCACCCTCAAACAAAATGGCTGCCACGACTTTTGCAGCCTTGCTATACCGGGAAAACGAGCTCCTATGCTTACCAGACTTCTTAGAGGACCTTATCTTGACCAGAGGACTCCATTGGTACCCATAGCGTGGCTCTAGGCCCAGTCTAAAAGAAAAGCCAAAAATCGGCGAACCGGCCGTTTTGTTCAGCCACCTTTTTTCATCTTCATCATCATCATCATCATCATCAAGAAGTCCTGTCAATTCAGTTGTCGGTGTGTATCTCAGTATCAGTTGGTGCTACAAGGATAATTCTTACACCAATCTACTCCAACAGTCTATGCGCAGGTCCATGTCCCATCAGATCATTTTTCAAGTAAGGAAAAAGTGGTACTGTGGCTGCTGGATCGAGCCATCTTAGCTGCATGCAGCCATTTTGTTAATTAAAGAAGCATGCCATGTGCTCCAAAATTTGGGTGTGGTCGCGCATGCTCAGATCTTCCATAAATAATACAGTAAACGAATCTCTATGGATCTGCAGCTCTGGAAGAAGCAATTAATTTTTTTACGAAGCTATGCTTGCTACTGCAATACTTTAGTGGAGGTTTCCAGCTAAAAGAAGGTATTAATCTTACATGTTACTGTTTTATCAAGTGTGTGATTTTATTTTATTTTAAAAAACAAACAATTAATTAATGTATGATATGCAATGATAATATGAATGACAACAGCCTGGAAGAACAGGAATAGCTGCATTCTGCTGCAACATTGCAGGGAAGATGGACACTCTCAGCTCACAGCTTCTTGAACAAGGACTTGTATCAAGACTAGTATTAACTTCACTTTTCATCAGGATAGTTGATATTCCTTCAGCATGTCTATTCAATGCTGTCTCTCATAAATGATGTAAAGTCATAACAATGATAATAATAATAAAGAAAATTATTGTTTGTGTAAAATCAACAAGCATCACAATGGCAACTAAAGAAAT